ATAACCCATACAGCACATTAAACCATATTAAGCACACACTCCTTCATAACCTTCAAAACAGAACTGATTTAGTCTGATGTTTGTCTTGAAACGGTTACAAAAGAACGATTTGCTAACATTCTCATTAAGTTATGAAAACGTTATTTCTGAATGTTCTCTGAACATTCAAAACACCCAGCTTTTTAAAAAATATGTTTTAAAAACTTTTTTTGTTTGGTTGGTTGGTTATGTAAACATTCCATTTAATCATTTTCAATAATTATGGGAATGTTACTTTTACATGTTCTCTAAACATTCTAAACAAGTAACGTTAGTAACATAAAAAAAAAAAAAAAACGTTAGTCGAACGTCCAGCTAAAATATCTCAGAAAAACGTTCCACGAACAATGTATAAATGTTTTAAGAATATTATTAAGACACAAAAATGACTTTGAACAAACACTCTGTTAACCTTAATATAACTTTGAGAGAACCTTGCCAGAACGTTAGCCAAAGTTCTGAGAACGTTCACTGTTAAACAGGTGTCAGCTGCATAAAACTAGTCTTAAAAGTCAGTCATCTATTTTTTCTTCTTCTTTAAGACTGGTCATAACTTTGTAAAGTCAGTTACATAAAAAGGTAGATTGTTCTAATTTGAATCCAAAAAGTAAGACCGATTACCACTTTTTCAACTCCTAGCTGGTCAAACTAGCTCTTAATACATAGGATGGTCTTAACATAGAGGTTAAGTTTATCCAACTAGCCCCTGCAGGTCTATTTTGATGTTGGTCTTATCTGATCTGGTCTGGTCTGGTCTGGTATACACTGGTCTTACGACAGTTAAACAGTGTTTTCTGTGAACTGCGTGAGTAAAGCGTTGTCTTCCGATGACCGCAGTGAACTTTTTATAGCAGCTTCAGCAACTGCGTTTAATTATAGGCTTTAAAACTCAGTCTGAACACAAATAGGGGCGGGGGTCTGGAACTGAAATCAACAACTCAGAAACAATCGCTCATCCTCCACAACAATCTCCACATCCCTCATATGTTAGTAGTAGTATCCATAGATCAATAATAACATCTAGGAATTACAACAGCAGTAGCAGATGCCTGATTTAAGTATAAACCAACCTGGACAGTCTGAGGGGTGAAAAATAAGCTGCAGTATGCTCCACTAACCTGGACAAGCAGCTCTAATTCTTCAGATAAGTTATGCAGGTAACGTTAGAGACGCGTGTCTTCCGCGAGCGTCCGTGTTCCTCCTCACGCCGCCGCGCCTCCGTTTATTTCTTTCTGTCCTGAGCGCCGGGCTCCGCCTCCTCATAAATATACGAAAGACGCTATAAATATGAATTAAGTAAGCCTGACGTCACTTGGTTGACGTCCAACCACGCAATACTAACGGCCGCCGAACGTTCCGTTACGTAATTAATATTCATGAGCCAGGCCTTCGCAGTAGTAGAATTCGGGGAAGGGGCGCAAAAAAAAAAAAAACCTTCCGCGAAACTTTGATTAAACTCTACTTAATGTAAACAGGAAATGACACACACGCGCAAGAATAATGATTAGTGCGGCGGATAATTATATGCTTTCACAAAACAATGACACATGGGCATTAGGACACAACTGTTGTGCAACTGGAATCTGAAGACGTGACTAACAAAAAGTACCAGAGACACGCGATCATTAACTTGGCAGTATCTATGGGTGCCACCTGAATACCATGGTAAATGAGTATTGGTTATTTTAGAGGGTTTTGACATGCTATATTAGTAATCTCATATACAATACTAAATAGGCTACAGTGCATTGGAGTACCATGAAATTTGAATATGGCAATCATTCAGTATACCATGGTACCTTCACAGTGTGTTTTTGTAAGATGTGGGTAGTTGCTTTTCTATAAAAACTGTGCTGATCTCTTTTAAAACCTCATCCTGGTCTTGCATTATACAAACAAGACATCTATATTGCTAAATCAGTCTGTTTGAAGTTATATTATGCATGTCTTTCATATCACACCAGCTTATTCAACTTTGATTTCTCTTATAAAGGAAAGAGAACTATGGAAGATTTTTGTATTTTTTATACTGTGGTGGAAAAAGTAGTTTTTTTAGCTTACAATTCTGAGAAATTAGAAATGCAAGATATAAACTCAGAATTGTGAGATTTAAACTTGTGTGAGAAAAAGTCAGAATTGTTCAATAAAAAGTCGCAATTGCCTTTTAATTTTTTTTAATTCTGTGTCAGGGAAAAACAGAATTGTGAGATGTAAACTCAAAATTGCAAGAAAATGTGGCAATTCTGAAAAATCGACGCGTTTCAAAAAGGCGGGGCATAGAGGAGAAACAATAATGTACAGTATGTGGAAAATAATGTGTTTTTTTAACTTTAAGCCGCATAAACACATTTCATTACACCAAATACACAAAATAATGTTCTTTTTAGCAGCATATGACCCCTTTAAATAATTTCTATCTCACAAGATGTCTATGAAAAAAAGATTTTGTTCGACTTCTTGAAACAGTTTTGTCAGAATTTGTAGTTCAAAACCCCTAACACATTCAGAAAAGGCATTTCAGGACATAAGTCTCGGAGCCACTCGTAATCAGGATGTGAGCCGTAATCTATCAGAACCACAACCAACATTCCGAGAACATTCCGGACTCACAGACACACCTCTTAATCCAAATTCCACTTACACACTCAATCACTGCTTGGATCACGCCAGGAAATCTGTGTGTGTGTGTGTGTGTGTGTGAGAGAGAGAGAGCTCCTTGGCTTGTGTTCACAAAACACATCTGCATTAAATCACAATAATCCACACCACTCCAGTCCATCAGTTAACATCTGGAGAAGACAAAAGCTGCGTGTTTGCAAGAAACAAACCCATCATTTAGATGTTTTTATCTTCAAACTGTTACTTCTGGCTAAAATACGAGTCCATAATCCATAATGCTTTCTAATTCTTTCTTAATCTTTCTTTCTTACAAACACACCGATTTTCACTTTTCAAGACATTAACTGATGGAGTGGAGTGGTGTGGGTTACTTGTGGATTATTGTGATGTTTTTATCAGCTGTTTGGACTCTCATTCTGACGGCACCCATTCGCTGTAGAGGATACATCGGTGAACAAGTGATGCAATGCTACATTTCTCCAAATCTGTTCAGATGGAGAAACAAACACATATACATCTTTAATGGCCTGAGGGTGTGTACATTTTGAACAAATGTTCATTTTTGGGGGAACTATTTCTTTAAGATTCATTTTCCTAGATTGTTCCAAAAATGTCCCATTATGAATGTCTGCTGTCTCCAGAAGTGCTTTTTCCTCTCATTCACTCAGTTCCTCTCTCTCTGTAACTCAATCCCGCCGCTCTAAAAGCTCCTGCTGTTCTGAAGCGCAGCGGTTTATTGGTAATCTGACTCAAGAGGTCCTGACAATATCCAGCCTCTTATCTGACTCACACACACACACACACACACACACTCAACAAATTACCAATCTGGTTTTTGACTTGAGCTTTGCTGACTCTTTGATTTTAATTCTGACCTGACTGACAGAGGCTTCATGAACTGCAACCGTTTCATTCGGATCATGTCATTTCCGTGCTTGTGGTCAACATGTGCGTCTCTTAACACACACACAGTGACCTCACACACCTCAAATGCTCGGTTGTCCTTGTTGTAATGAAAATTCCCAGCCAAGGACTCCAAAAGATACGCAGAATCCATCTGGGACTGGATCTGGAGCTTAGAGCACAACCTGAGACAGAGAAATGATTTCACAGCTTATGCTGACTATTCAAACACAAATGCGTCATTTGGACGCCAAATAATTTGCGGAAGAACACACACTCTTGTCCACTTTAAACACTCCACCATGAGACTCCACCCACACGCTCGATGACATCATCAGATCTGGCATCCCGCACCAGCGAGCAGAACGGAACAGTTTGTATATTTGGGAAAGCATTAGGTCATTGTGTGGGTGAATCACAGGAAAACACGTTCAACTCACATTTCATCCCCAAAATAAAGTAAATGAAGCTTATTTTAGGACCATGAAGCAGTTTTACATTGTGACATTGGAATTTCAGGACAACTAACCACATTTTTCCCCAAAATTATCATTATCATAATGTATCCAGATAAACTGTTAAATTCTTTGCAGTCCAACACTTTCTACCATAATGTCCAAATAACTTACAAGTTACAATTTATTTTACTTAATATCAATATAAGTATAATTATAGTTTGATTATACGCTACCATTCAAAAGTCTGGGGTCAGTAAAAGTTTCTTTTGAAAGAAATGAATACCTTTATTCAGCAGGGACACATTAAATTGATAATAACTGACAGATTTCTATTTCAAATAAATAGCTTTTCACCTTTCTATTAATTTCTGTGCTTTTCAACTTTCTATTAATCAAGGAATCCTGACAAAAAAAAAGCATGGTTTACACAAAAACATTTATGTACATAAAAATATATTTTCACTTTGATGTGATTTTATTTATATATATATATATACATACACACACACACACACACACACACACACTGTATATATATGTATTAAATTATATATATATATAGAGAGAGAGAGAAATAAATTAATATAAAAAATTTATTTAATCTAATATTTTATATTTCAGTTTTTTAATCACATTACAGTGATGAAAATGAGAATTTTGGGGGTAAACATGCTTGATTATAATGAAAAACATTAAAAAATAATACATAATAAAATATTGGTCAAAAACTTTTATTTTCCTAAAACAGATTTTGCTAAATAAATAAATATAAACAGATTTTATATATATATATATAATAATTCTTGTTTTTTTTTAAATCACATTAGAATGAAGGATTTTGGGAGGAAACGTGTAATTATAATTAAAGACATGTCCCAAAAAATAATATATAATAAAATATTGGCCAAAAGTGCTTTAGTTCTCCTAAAACTTTTTTTTTTTTTTTTAGTTCTCTCTAAAAGACTTTGCACCATAAAAATTCTGATTTCTTGCTTATTTGTACCATACTAGTTCCTTGTAGTCCATTCCAAACACAGCCTGGCATGACAGCAGAAAGTCTGTGGGCCGGAAGGAAGAGAAAGATGAAGGATGTTTTAGATTGAGTGTTTTCTTTCTGCGGGTCGTGCTGAGACGACTGACCCTGCTCCATAACTGAGCTACGGAACACAGACGGCATTCCAGGATCTCAGAATCACACACACACACACACACACACACATCCCAAGTCGAACGGAACTAAGAAGGACACTGAAACCAGGATAGTCACAGTCCAGCGGCTGCAACTGCAACAGAAAGGCCTTTTCAGTCCTTGCAAAACACATGTATTATACATCGTCTCATGTTCCTGTGCCATTACAAACCTATACAATCCCCAGTTCAAGTAGTTTAAATAAATGCATCATTGCAAAAGTCATAAAGTCAACATTAATTAAAAAATGACCCTATTTATTGCTCTATAATCAATTAAAATTACATATTTAATTAAATTGCCACCTCAAAGATGACTACTTTTCTCTTTCTGATGTAATCAAGGACATGTAATAAATATAAATATTAAACGATAATATCATAACCCATTTCCAATCAACTCCAGCTCTGTCAAACAGCTGAATATTTACAGCTGAATACTCTGTTTTACTTAGAAATGTCACTAAGGTACATGAATACCATGTCATTTTTACCTGTTAAATTAATTCTCAAACAAATGCAATTAAGTTCTCACATACATTACCATTCAAAAGTTTGGGGTTGGTAAGTTTTTTTTTTTAAATGTTTTTGAAAGTCTCTCGTGCTGCATTTATTTGATCAAAAAAACACAGTAAAAACAGTAATTTTGTGAAATATGATTATTTTAAATAACTTTTCCATGTGAATATATAGTAAATTTATTTCTGTGATCAAAGCTGAATTTTCAGCATCATTACTCCAGTCTTCAGTGTCACATGATCTTCAGAAATCATTCTAATATGCTGATTTGCTGCTCAAGAAACATTTCTGATTATTATCAATGTTGAAAACAGTTGTGCTGCTTCATATTTTTATGGAAACCATGAGGCATTTATTTTTTCAGGATTATCTGATAAATTGAAAGTTTAAAAGAAAAGCATTTATTTAAAATAGAAATATAAACGTCACTTTTGATCAATTTAATGCTTCCTTGCTGAATAAATATATTAATTTCTTAAAATCAGTGTGTGCATGAGTTACCTGACATTGAGTCATTGAGTCGTTCTACCAACATGTCAGATGCTTTCTTCACCACTAGAGGGCACTCTGGGTTTTCCACCGCCAGTGATCGCCACACAACCTCTAAATATTCTGCAACCACAGAAAAAAATTAAACAACACTCATTAGTACACAACAAAATTACACTTATGCATTTAGCAGACACACAGCGACTTAAAGCATTCGTCAAAACCAACAACAATGCAGCAGTGAATGGGTGCCGTCAGAATGAGAGTCCAAACAGCTGATAAAAACATCACAATAATCCACAGCACTCCAGTCCATCAGTTAACATCTGGAGAAGCCAAGATCTGCGTGTTTGTAAGAAACAAATCCATCATTAAGGTGTTTTTAACTTTAAACCGTCACTTTGGCCCAAAATACAAGTTCATAATCCATAATAATGCTTCATCCTGTGAAAATGTCCATTTACTATTTTACACATTACTACTGTTTTTCACATTAAAATCATATTTGTTTAGAACAGTTTTTGCTTGTAAACGGTGCTGGATCTGTGCATATTTCTCTCCTGATTCAGACCAGACCACTTTGTCACTGTAGAAAGCATTAGTATGGATTATAGACTCATATTTTAGCCAGAAGCAACGTTTTAAAGTTAAAAATGTCTAAATTATTTGTTTATTACAAACAAGCATATTTTCACTTCACAAGACATTAACTGATGGACTGGAGTGGTGTGGATTACTTGTGGATTATTGTGATGTTTTTATCAGCTGTTTGGACTCTCATTCTGACGGCACCCATTCACTGCAGAGCATCCATTGCTGAGCAAGTGACGCAATGCTACATTTCTCCAAATCTGATGAAGAAACAAACTCATCTACATCTTGGATAGCCTGAGGGTGAGCACATTTTATGCAAAAAAGGAATCATTTTAGGCTGAAGTTTAACGTTAGACATGGTCTAAAAGTAATAGTAATGTTGCAAACCAAAAGCCTTATTATCAAAGCCTCAGATGACTGGATGAAATCAGCAGCACGCATATGACGTAACTGTCATGAATGTTGGATGACAAATGAGAGCAGAAACAGCTGTAAACATAATCATGCACGTCTCACAGAAACCTGAAGATCCTGCAACGTTTCAGGCAACAGACTGGACAAACAGCACACGCTAAACAATGCCATGAGATGAGAAGCTATTGTTCTAGCGCTGCAGTGATCTAAGAGCCGCTCACAATGAAAAGCTCTGTGAAAGTGGTCAGTGCAACATCACTATCCTGAGGAGCGATGCTACAAGACATCACTGCAGGACAGACCACAGTCACGGAGTTTGACGTCTGCACCGACACACATGGAGTCATTCCCCGTCACCTAACCACACAGACGGAGAGAGACGGCAAAACACATGTATCTCGTGTCTCCACTGCAGAGACAGTTGCTCATCGCCATAATTAACCCTCAATTTATTTTTAATTTTAATGTCTGTACAGGGGTGTTGTTTTAAATATGACCCATCAGACATAATATACACCCTCGGCAGACCGCGGTCACGAAGACTGGTGATTAATGTGTGTGTGTGTGTGTGTGTGTGTGTGTGTGTAGCTGTAGGTCAGAGAAAGGTCTTGTTTAAAAGCGGTTCGGATGTCATGGTGACATCCAGCTGTTCAGAAACATGGAGGAAAGAGACGGGGGGTTGAGGAACAGAGGAAGAACAAACAAGACAAGAAAAGCAGACTGGAAACAAGAAATAAGAAACGACAGAGACAAGAAAAAAAACTACATTTATACTACTTAATGTTTTTGTAATATTTACATTATCATTCAAAAGTCTGGGGTCAGTAAGATTTTTTAAAGAAATGAATACTTTTATTCATCAAGGATGCATTAAATTGATAATAAAAGACATTTATAATGTTACAAAAGATTTCAAATTAATTCTGTTCTTTAGAGCTGCCACTTCTTATTATTCTAATGTGTTTCTTTGTTGTTGCAACACCCACAAGTTTTTGTAGGAAGATTGCGCTTTTTATATAATGCTTCTTTTTTTTCATATTTCATGTTTTTATATTGGTACTTTAAATAAATATGATTTTTAATGTTCCTTTTGTGTTCATCTAGTAAAAAGCAGTAAGTTGTAACTAAGTTTAGATTATTTTTAACTAGCGATGATTTTGCATGAAATTGATCAAAAGTGACAATAAACACATTTATAATGTTACAAAAGATTTCTAATGCAAATAAATGCTGTTCTTTGGAACTTTCTATTCATCTGTGAATCCTGAAAAACAAAACGCATCACGGTTTCCACAAAAATATTGGGCAGCACAACTGTTTTCAACATTGATAATAATCAGAAATGTTTCTTGAGCAGCAAATCAGAATATTAGAATGATTTCTGAAGATCATGTGACACTGAAGACTGGAGGAATGATGCTGAAAATTCAGCTTTGATCACAGAAATAAATGAGATTTTATACATTTTAAAATACATTTAATATATTAATATAGAAAACAGCTATTTTAAATTCTAATAATATTTCACAATATTACTGTAATAAATAAATGCAGCCTTAGTGAGCAGAAGAGACTTCTGTCAAAAACATTTAAAAAATCTTATTGAACAGTAGTGAAAATAATTTAATATTTCTGCCATTTTATAAACCAAGGCAGCTTGTTTTTCATGGTTAAAAGCCTAAAACAGTAGAATAGTCAAGATAACAAAAATGACAAGTGTGTGTGATTCATTTTAATTGCAGAATTAGATGCATTTCTGAATAATAAAAAGAACATTTAACAAAAAGCAATACTGTAGAGTGGAAATTTAGAAGTTGATTTCTCAATTTTATCCATCAAGAATTGACTGAATGGTAAAAAGCTTCTCTAGATGACGGTTGGTTGGAAAAACCAGAAATTTGGAGCAAGATATAAAACAAACTTTTTTTACACTTATAGTGCAAAGAAAAATAATGAATCACTCAGGAGCATGAACTCAGAAAGTAACTCGAGTCAGTTACGATGTCATGTTGACTTCAACCATGTTAAACGACTGTCAATTCTGATCAATCCTGATAAAGAGACGCACCTGGGAAGATGACAGTGGCGTGAACGGGTGCGCTGGTCGCTACGGAGGCGTGCACCAGGTGTGGGTACTTCAGACGGAACCAGGCTGCAAGGGATCCTGGGTAGGAGCCTCCAAACGCAACCCACTTGCTATTGGTCAGGCCCCGCGTCGCTGCGGTAACCGTGCGGAAGTGAGCGAGATCAGCCAATGCCTGACGACTGCTGAGGAAACACAGATTCTCAGTGCTCACGTCCCTAAGACGCAAAACAGAACAATCAATAATCAATAATTGAGCTAATATAGATAGATAGATAGATAGATAGATATCCTCTATGTGAAAAGAACAGAAAGGCAGTGACTGGCTTGTAGTGCCATCTAGTGTTCTGTTAAGTGCTCTTTCACTATTTCTTTCTTTCACTCACAGTATCTGTGCTCCAGTAACAAGCACAAGGCGCCCAGTTTCTGTGTGTAAAGCAGCCAGGTTCTATAGCACCGGGTCTATAGAAACTGTCATTCACAAAATATCTCTAATATATATATATATATATATGAGTAAGTAATGACATATTTTTTGACATTCTTTCCATTTGTACCATGGTAATGCTAATATATATGTGAAAATTGAGTTTTGCCATCACACAAATTACATTTTAATACATATTAAGAAACATAATTAAACAACAAAACAGTTTTAAACTGTAATAATATATTACAATATTACTGTTTTTAAATTATTTTTTTTAAATCAATGCAGCCTTTGTGCATAAGTGAGCATTAGAGACTTTGTTCAAAAACTTAGCAATAAATAATTAAATAGTATATTGGAAATTGTGTATATTACATATGTACTGTACCTATATCAGGGTTATTTTAGCATTGAGATACTATACTAATTTTTGTTCATATTTTGAATTATCTTTATATTTTATATTTTTTATGTTATTTATTTATTTTTGTTTAGTTTTAGTTTTTAGTAATTTTGTTGTGTGTTTTTTAGTTTGTGTTAATATTTTGAACATTTTTATTATAATTATTTTCATTTTTATTTCATTTAAGTTTGCGTCTCAGTGATTATGTAGTGTTTTTGTCATTTTCCTCAGATTAAAAAAAAAATAAACATGTCTATATTTATCTATATAGCATTCATTCACATTTTAGTTGTTGTTATTTTAGTAGCCTACATAAAGATAAACTAAATAAAATTGAAAAAAAAATGTCATCTAGCTGAAATAAAATAAACTTACGTTTTTTTTACATTTTATTTTGTTAAAGTTTATTTTATTTCAACAGGTTCAAGAGAGAGAGAGAGAGAGAGAGAGAGAAAGTAATACCATGGTATTTTTTGAAGTACTCTGGAGTACCATTTAAATGTCATGGTGCACGCATATACCATCTGCAGCCAGCAGCAGGTTTTTGTCAGGTAATCCTGCAGTGAAGTAACGTTACCTGTTTCCAGACTCGAGTATCTGCCCCGCTGAAGTGATCGAGTCTCTGGATGAACCACAGCTCCTCCGCTCCTGACTCCAGCTGAGCTCCACATCTGTGCGATCATCTCCTGGAGCGAGCCGCACACGGAGCGCATAAAACACACGCCAAAATTACACTAGCAGAATATTTCTGAAACCTATTACACCCTAAAGCCATTTTGAAGTGGAACTGATTCTGTCATGTGATCATGTGTTTAGAATCATGTGATAGCTCATCTCTTCCCTACTACGGTAAAGGCTGAGCTTATGAATATTAAGTAGACCGCGCTAAAGTTCCTCGTTAAGTCCTTGGTCATGGATATTATTTTTTAAAGGCGGACGTTACGTTCTTGCCTTCCAATGACGAAGGCTTGTAACATAGATATGTACATACATACATATCTATGGCTTGCAATATGAATATTTAGTCAAAGCCTTCGTCATAGTAACCCACTACCCATTCACATACTTCAAAATAAAAGTGACCCGATTACAAAAGGTTTCTTTAACGTTAAAACTGTTATTTCCATGTTAAGGACATATGGTCATTCAAAAAAAAAAAAAAAATCTTTGCCCTATCCATCTGAATAAAAATTACTAAAAACCGCGGACAAATTAACGGTCTGACGCTGACTACCGTAATTACTGTAATAGTGTGCTTCTTTAAGTCAAAGTACAGACCAAGCTTACTACTAGTAATTTATAATTTTACAATAGTATGTTTCTTTTTGTCATTCAAGGGTCAATACCTCTCCACAAAGTGGAAAAGCTCGTGAACAATAAGCGAGTCCTAAAGGACGTGGAAAAACTCAGTCACCATTACCAGACATCTTCACAAGAGGCCTTTCACAGAGTGATCCTGCGTTTTGCCCCCAAGAATGTCGTTTTTTTCTTTCATTGGAATGTTGTGCAGGTATTATATATTAGTGTAGCCCGGTGAGAATAAAAAGATGCTAAATTATGGTTTGATACTAATATGTTTATTTACATTATAATGTGTGTTTTATTTTTATTATTTGTTTATTCAGTTTCATTTCAGTGTTTTCATGTGTATGTATATAGTTATATATTTATATATATAATTTGATTTAATGTACGGATCACGAGGTGGAGGTGGAGGAGGAGGGAGGCGTGGCAGAGAGAGAGAAGAGGAGGGAGATTGCGTATTATGTTAGTCCGAAAGAAAAGGATATTCTACACGATAATCCCGTATATCTAGAGTGAATCCGTCATCAGTGATTTGTATTTTGCTAATAAGAACTTTATTTAGCAAGTATTGGTTATATTTAGCACGGATTACACTTTGCACGTTCATTCCATGTGCTTGTGTGGTGACTAGCACGAACCTGATCGACATTCAACGCAGAGAAGGAGAAACAGATAGCGCTCCGGGTGACCGGAAAAGCCCGGAGTTCCACTGTTGCTGTGTGGGAGAGCCGCTAGCCGCTTGCGCGAGCCAAAGCCACGACGTTTCATCATACCGCGGGACCCGTCGCGTTCTGGGAAAAACCCTCAGGCCTGCAACGTAGGGTGGGTGTGTGAGTGATAGCGGGAAAGTGGGCCCACTGTTTTGTTACTGAATATAGAGAGTATTTCATTGGGTTAAATCCAAAATTGTAAGATTTTGTTATTGAGTTGTAAATTTGTAAATTTTCCAATTTAATTCCCTAACGTGTGTTTAACACTTGTGAAAATAGAAGTTTGGTTTATTTCATATTGTCCCTTCTTTTAAAGGATTTGATTTGACATTGAAAAAGTTGTTTACACAGTTTTATTATCCTTTCACCTTGCTTTACTAACTTCATTGGGTTATAGAAATATATAAACAAAACCTCATACGAACAGTATTGGATTCTATCGTCTTTATTGCTGCTGGAAGGAAGAGAAATATTATATTTGCCTGTTAAAGTTAATCATAACAGTGAAACAAATACTTACCCAGGCCCCAGCTTTAACATAGCGGGTATCGTTACTGGGGTTACATAAATTGGAGGCACCGCTGGGATCAATTTCCCGTATTATTTCAGCAGCATCCATAGTAAGGAAAAAAAAAAAACACATTTTACATTGTATAGTACAAAGTAACAGTTTAAGTGGCTCAGCTCTAGCTATGGCTCATTTTCGGACCTCTTTCTCAGTCCCTGATTTGAAAAGTTGGTGCCGAGGTGAAGGCATAGACCCAGATTATGCCATCATTGTGAGTGGAATTCCAGAAGAAACAGATGTTTCTAAAATTGAAGAAACTATGCATTCATTCAAAGCCCTTGGAAGAGTCAGGGTAAGAGGACGGATGTTTAGCCAAGAGTCCCAGTCTCTGATAGTGCTCTGTGAATGTCGAGAGAAAGTGCAGGCAGAGAGACTCCCTCTTGATGTATTACCTGCTGATGGATCGGAGCCATGGATCCTGAGTGCTAATAGAATGGAGGGTACTGATTTAGATGGTGGAGGGGAAAGTTTCGTCTCGCCTGACGAATCTGGGCAAAGAGAAGAACATCAAGAATCAAGTTCGCCTAACTTGTTGAATGCTTCTACGCCCGAGTCTATCATCAGAGCGGTAGGTGATTTGCTTGCAAAAACCACCAAAATCTCGAGTGATAGCAGTTCCTTTAGACGTTTAAGGACCTTTTCAGGTATCACACCTATTCCGGCTGGAGAGGATAATTTAGAGAATTGGATGGAACAAGCAATGCTCATGGTTGAGGAAAGTGATCGTTCCGAAAAAGAAAAGAAATTAAGGATAGTGGAGAGTTTGCGAGGACCAGCCTTGGAGATTATCCAAGCGGTAAGGTTTACAAACTCAGAAGCATCTCCAAGAGAGTATCTTGCCGCTATTGAAAGTGCTTTTGGAAGCTCAGAGTCCGGTGAAGATCTGTATTTCAAGTTCAGAGCATTACGGCAATGTCATGGAGAATGCTTGTCGGATTTCCTGAGGAGAATTGAGAAAATCTTGATTAGAGTTGTACAAAAAGGAGGCCTACCTGCCCAGTTGGCTGGAAAAGCACGTCTGGAGCAACTCATCAGAGGAGCAATCCAGGCTGACATCATGCTGCTTCAGTTACGCCTAAGGGAACGAAAGGAAAACCCACCTGATTTCCTAGATCTGCTACATGAGATTCGGGAAGAGGAGGTAAGAGAGGCTGAAAGACGAAAGGCTAATCCAACCGTTCGTCAAGTGCAAATTGGAAGTGAGAATTCCAAAGACTCATCCTTTCAAGAGCTTGCAACTGAGATCAAGGACTTACAAACTATGGTGGCAGAGTTAACAGTTAAGTCAAAGGATGATGCGATTTCTGAAAAGAAACAGAAAAGCCAGCAAGCATCAGAGTTCAATGATGAAAGTTATAAAGTACAAGCTCTGAAGAAAGAAGTGAAAAAACTTAGACAGCAAGTGAAAGGGCTGGCTGCACAACCAGCACTTAAAGTAGAGAAAGAAATGGCTCCAAAGGGTAACCAAGCATGTCCAGTGCAGTTCACCCGATCAAAAGTATCTGGATCTTCTAAAAGCTCAGAAGATTACTTCTGCTATAGGTGTGGGGGTGACGGACACATTGCTTCAAAATGCAGAGCCCCTGTAAATGAGACTAAAGTGATTAAGAAACTCATTCAATCTCTGCGAAAAGCTAAAGGAAAGCAGAGGAATGAGGAGGCTCCTGTAGAGGAATACAACTGTTCTGTGAAAAGAAGCGCAGTTCAAGTCAAACCAACCACAAGTATCCCTGAAGGACTAGTGGGACCATCTTCGGTTATTCCGGTGAAGGTAAATGGAACACCTTGTCAAGCTTTGCTGGACAGTGGATCTGTAGTAACCATTATCTTTGAGGAATGGTACAATAAATTCCTGACTGATACTCCGATTCAACCCATTTCTGGACTAGCAGTATGGGGCTTGAGTGATGCCAGTTTCCCTTATCGTGGCTATGTGGAAGTAGAGCTGCAATTTCCGGAGAAGTTGACAGGGGTGCAGCAATCCATCAGTGTATTGGCATTAGTGTGCCCAGAGCCTCATGGACCCAAACAGGTTCCCTTACTCATCGGTACCAATGCCAGTATGTTCCAAAGGTTAGCCCAGCTGTGTAAAGAATCTGCTGGAGTAGACATTGTTCGCACAATGCCAGTAAATCTTCAGAAGCCAAAGACATCCGAAATGGAAGTCAGAGAACAAAAAGACTCAGAAGATGCGGTGGCTGAAATTCAATGTCAGGTCCAGGTCCACTCAGTATTCCACCAAGAAGTGAGTGTCAAGCTATTTGCAAAGTCAAGGTGATGCAGTCCATTGACAAGTGTATCTTAGTTGTAGATCAACCATCAACTTTAAGTAGTCCTGCTGAGGTTCTAGTAAAGCCTACTATTATTCCCTCGTCAGCCATCCAAATGAACCGATTTCCTGTGCTTCTAAGGAATGTATCACAGAAAGAAGTCTGTATTCCTGTGGGTTCAGTAGTGGCACATGGATACACCACTGAAGTTGCCACTAGTGTGGAGAAAGACAATTCAGCAAGAGGATCACCTATAGATCCATGCTTGTTTAATTTTGGAGATTCACCGATTCCAAAATATTGGAAGGATAGATTATCCCAAAAACTGTCGGAGAGGCCGAATGTCTTTTCACTCCATGAATGGGATGTGGGATCTGCTAAAGGAGTGGAACACCACATTCGCCTGAGTGACAACACCCCATTTCGAGAGAGATCCCGTAGGCTTGCCCCTGCTGACATCGATGATATACGACGCCATCTTCATGAGTTGTTGGCTACTGGAATCATCAAAGAGTCCAGGAGTCCATATGCTTCCCCCATTGTGGTGGCTAGGAAGAAGAATGGCACGGTGCGTATGTGTATCGACTATAGAACCCTAAATTCAAGAACAATCCCTGATCAGTATACAGTTCCGCGGATTGACGAGGCTTTAGACTGTCTTACGGGCAGCAGGTGGTTCTCCGTTTTAGACCTACGGAGCGGATATTATCAGATCAATATGGCTGATGAAGACAAGGACAAGACCGCGTTCATATGCCCGCTTGGGTTCTATCAGTTTGAGAGGATGCCGCAAGGAATCTCTGGAGCCCCTGCTACATTCCAGAGATTAATGGAGAAGGCCGTAGGGGACATGAATCTGCTGGAAGTACTTGTGTACTTGGACGATCTCATAGTGTTCGGCAAAACACTAGAAGAACATGAGGAACGTCTGTTAAAAGTCCTCGATAGACTAGAAGAAAGTGGATTAAAAGTCTCACTTGACAAGTGCCAATTCTGTCAACCTCGGGTAAAATATGTGGGGCATATAATCTCCGAGAAGGGTATTGCCACCGATCCAGCTAAGGTTGAAGCTGTGACCAAATGGAAGCAACCCACTGATTTGAAATCCCTTAGATCATTCTTGGGATTCTGCGGGTACTACAGGCGCTTCATAGCTAATTACTCCGCCATAGTCAGACCCCTTACTGAACTTACCAAGGGATATCTGCCTTCTCAACATAGGAAGAAAGCTGCAAAGAACGAAAGGATGTACTTCAAGGAGTCTGAAGCTTTTGGGGACAGGTGGACGAAAGAATGTACGGAGGCATTCCAGAAGATCATCCAGTGTCTTACTAACGCACCTGTGTTGGCATTTGCTGATCCAACCAAGCCCTACATTCTGCATGTAGACGCCAGTCAGAATGGGTTGGGAGCCGTTTTAAACCAGGAGAACCCAGAAGGGTTAAGGCCCGTAGCATTTGCCAGCCGCAAGTTGAAGCCCTCTGAACAGCGTTACCCTGTCCACCAACTTGAATTTTTAGCACTGAAGTGGGCAGTGGTAGACAAGTTTCATGACTACTTGTATGGTGCCCGATTTACAGTAAGAACAGACAACAACCCACTTACTTACATACTTACCACTGCAAAACTCAATGCTGCTGGTCATAGGTGGTTAGCTGCGCTGTCCACATACAACTTCAACGTACAGTATAAACCTGGAAAAAACAACATTGATGCGGATGCTCTGTCGCGCAATTTCTTTGCCACTACAGAAGAGCAATATTGGCAAGAAATATCACCCTCTGGTATCAAAGCCCTTTGCAAAACAATGAATACCCAAAAGTGTGTAGAGATGCTGGGAGTGTCCCCTGAAGTCATACCTGAATGCTATGCATTTCCCACCAGACTAGACTATGGTTCTCTTGAGCATTTGAGTACCCATGACTTAATAAAAGCTCAGGAAGAAGACCCTGCTATTTCTCGAGTAAGACATGCTGTGTCAAAAGGGCAGTTGTTAGCATTGTCCAGAGACAAAGATCCTGAAGTACACCTACTACAGAAAGAGGGGTCCAAACTCATAGTAAGGAGAGGACTATTATTCCGGGTGGTACAGCGACAACAACACGAAGAGTGTCGTCAGCTTGTTTTACCGCAGAAGCATCGGTCCATGGTCTTACAGTCCCTGCATGATGAAACTGGACATCTAGGAGTAGATAAGACCACTGCTTTAATAAGAGATCG